TAGGTTTATGCAACTGTTAATTATGCGTTTTATCCTAGAGGATGATTGTTTTAGCGGTCCCGATCAGAAATATCAGCGCAGACAGCAGCTTCCGGCCACGCGTGCATACTTCTACACGTATCTACCCAGACAGCAGTTACGGCCGATTAGGGCCATCTTCGCCCTGTCTGCCGTTGGAAAGCTTTGCCTCGGAAAATCAAGTCCCACCTGTTTATTGTGAGTTACGCTTGTGTAACTTCTAGTGGGCGTCAGCAGGACATTTCGTGCGTTTAAATAGTTGTCCGACCGCCACCTCTGTCTTCTCCGACCGTAATGCTCAGCTCTGGAGGACCCCCGAGCTCTCAGACACGCAATATTCATGGAGTAGACAACGAATTAGATTAGGATCGATTAGACACAAAAATCCCGAAAGATCTGCCTCATCATTTTGGTCTTCGATACCGAGTTACATTTTCAGTTTGCGGCTGACCAAAACGACGCGGAAAGACAGTTGTTCGTTTGAATGGTGGAGACGTTTTTAAAGCTTCCTCGAATTCCTGCTAACATTGTCTTCTACACCATGACGTACGTGTCATCCATGTATCATCATCATCAGAATGCCGGGTCTTAATGTAGCTGAGGAAGATATGCTTTAGTCCTTTGGGGGCTGGATCTGATGATAGGCTGGGGACTGAAGTAACCATCATAGTTCCCTCTCTAAACGTTAAAGGGGTTCGTTGGTGGAATTCAGACCGTTTCGCGGTATTCATGATTCGGAGGAGGTCTTCACTTCTCGTCTTACTCCTTTTCAAGGTGTCTGGGCACATACTCGCGCACCAATTCAGGCGCGGTAGGTTTGGGGATTTAGGTTGCATCGGAGGTCGCCGATAAATTGAGAGATCGGGCTACTTGAGGTCCTTGCATCTTCCAGAAGGAAGTCCACCTTTTTGATCATCCGTCTGTCCAGAGTGTATGTGAGGTTGCCTGTGACGATATCCATTTGCCCAATATTGCTGTTGCTGACAGGCAGGTTTGCCTGGTACCACTCATCTGTCGGGGATGCATTTTCGACTTTTTTTAGGAATTAAGCCTGCACCTGAAGTTGGGGCGAATTCGACTTCCTCCGAGGTTCTTATTTGATTATGACTCGGTGAACAGCAGCTATAAGTCACTGCCCGTCCTTGGCAGCTGCTCCTTTTGTTTTTTTTTTTACCATGTTAAGGCAAATGGTCTATTTTGTGATGTTTCACGACTTCTGGCCGCTGCATAAGTGCTCCCCTGTACATTCTAGAGCATTTGTGTCTCGCGAACACCATCTCCACAGGATGCGTACTTGCGTTTCGCAGTGCATGGATTACTCCTGGGATTATGTTGCATCCCTGTTTTGGTCCCGGTACCCAAATCCCTTCTCGTAAATTACCCCTTCTTGCCCAATCTCACCACGTCAATTTAGAAAGCACGTTCTTCATGAGGACACACTAGAACGTACACTCCTAGACTCCAACACGCTTTATACAAAACGTGTCATAATGAAACAGGGCTTCGGTCGCATCCCTTTTTGGCTGCG